TCTGGTCATTATCTATCTATCTATCTATCTATCTATCTATCTATGTCTTTTCATATCTATCTATCTATCTATCTATCTATCGATCAGTCCTTTTTTGCCACCATCTGAATATCTGTTTAGTCATTTCACATCAATTTGTTTATGATCAATTTTTTGCCTCTTGTAAATATACTGAATCAATGGTACACATGTTACCTGTGTACATGGAATGTATATATATATGTGCATGTTTGTCAACATGCATACAGATATATACACTGAAACATAGATATATTCACTCTATGGAAATATAAATACATGATTAAATATTTACATTTTTATTTGTGCAAGTGCCTATATATATATATATATATATATATATATATATATATATATATATATATATATATTATAATTTAATTTAAAAATATGTATTCAGCATGACACAGAAGTTAACATATCTCGGAACAAAAACCAAACTTAAATTAAACTTGAAATTTTTTGAAATTTATTCAACATTGCTTGAGAATGGAACAAAAACATTAATTTTAAGTTTAACTTAAAGTTTAATTTTTAGTTCTGAAACATGAAAATTTCTGTGTCGTGATGAATACATATCGAGCACTGGTTCTAAAAATAAATGAGAAAAAATTGTGGATTATTAATGTAATTGTTCTTTTCTTTTTATGTTGATATATATATATATATATATATATATATATATATATATATATATATATATATATATATACCCAAGTATAGGATTGGTGTATATGTAATAAATTCCAATAATGAAAAAATACTATTCTTAAAATTGATTATCATTAAACGAAGAATGAAAAAATGCTGCCTGAATACACACAATATATATATATATATATATATATATATATATATATATATATATATATACAAAGTATATAATTGGTGTATATGGACTAAATTCAATACCCAACAATTACAATTCTTAAAAGAGTGCTCAATGCAGAGTAGAGCAAATATAATTATTTATTCAAAAATTATAACATAAATATGTTATAAAATCACTACAAAAATAGCCATTTTGTTTCAACACTTCTGGTGTCTTATCAAATGATGCTGAAGAAGTGTTGAAACAAAATGGCTATTTTTAGTGATTTTATAACATATTTATGTTATAATTTTGAATAAATAATTATATATATATGTGTGTGTGTGCATGTATGTATAAAATCTTCTTAAGCATATAAGTATATGCATATGCATATAATATACATATATGAGAGAGATCTTAAGTATACATAATACATACATATATATATATATATATATATATATATATATATATATATATATATATATATATTTACACTTAAGATTTTACTTAAGTTCTTGTAAATTCCTGGATCCTTTTGAAAGTGACATGTTTAACCTAGTTAAAAAAAATGAAATTTCAGAAAGTTGTCCAAGCAATTCCAAGAAAAGTTAAAGAAGGACATAAAAACTATTAAGAATTCTAAAGAAACTTGGTTTAGTGCTGACAAATCCAAAAACATTTATAAATGTAACCCCCTCACACTAACATAAAATTCTCGCTAAAACAATAACAGGCACATATAAACTCGATAAATATATCACAGAATGATCTCCAAATGCCAGTTTTGCAAATAATTTAAATATTGCAGATTGAGTTGGGGAAGGTCCATACCAAAGATGCATAACTTTTATTTAAAGATCACAAACGTAACCTCACTAATAACATACAGTCCAGATGAATAAATTCAGCAAAAACTGAACTAGGTCTAATCTCAAAAAATAATAACCAATGAATTACTAATTATAACCTGTACTAATCTCTGGCCAGATTCGTTAGACACAATCAAATGTTTTGTCAATATTGGTGATAAAGAAAGAGATATATTTATCACATTTGATATCATAGATTTCTATTCCTCCATCTCCAGGGATTTCTTGGTAAATTGTATTAACTTTGCAAAAAACTATGTGGAGACTAATAACATCCTAACAACTATGAAATCACTTCTAGGTCATAATAATATCCACCTGGACTAAATGACTTAATGATGATTTTGATGTCCCTATGGGTACATATGATTCAGCCCAGGTTGTGATTTACTATGTTTCTATATTTTAGATACACTTAGTAGAATTGTAGATCCCAAAAAGGTAAGCCTATACAGAGATGATGTACTCATTTTCATCCCCAAAAGTAATGGTCCACTAATCACAAAGATCTAAAAGAAAATTATAAGGCCCTTTAATTTAGGTTTCAGGATCGAGATTTCCTCTAACCTTAAAATAGTTGATTATCTAGATATCGCTCGATAAAATAACTGATAAATTACTAATTATAACCTGTACTAATCTCTGGACAGATTCGTTAGACACAATCAAATTTTTTGTCAATATTGGTGATAAAGAAAGAGATACATTTATCACATTTGATATCATAGATTTCTATTCCTCCATCTCCAGGGATTTCTGGGTAAATTGTATTAACTTTGCAAAAAACTATGTGGAG